TAGATTTCAAAACGTACTCAATATTCGATAAAATATAAACGGGTCGACGCGTTTACAYTACATCTTACTTGAGATAAGACTTAAAAACATGAGTAAATATTGCGTGGAATGATGTTGAGGGATTTATAGAATAGTATCTTATCGAGGAATCGCGTATTGAAACGTGCTTTATAAACACGCTAATACTGTAAATAAAAAAAATACTGTAACCCTACCATTGTTCTCACCTTCAAAGCCATATGAGGAAATAACATGCTGTTCAAGATCGCATACTCATACTCAAATTCTAACTTTTCCTTTATGGTTCGAATGGTAAATTGAAGAAGAGAAAGAAATCAAAGTGTGTGGCTCACCTTTACGACCCCCTTTTCTTTGTATGRAGTGAATGTTTTTCCATTTTGACTGTATTCAATAATATAACTCTTTACCCACTGCTCAACTTTATTTCGGCCTTGAGTCACTACTCCTGTGACTTTCATCTCATGGTCGAATGTTACTTGCAGCCATTCGTTTTTCCTTCTTTTTCTGGCTGACCAGGAACCGTCTCCACCTTTATATCCAACTTTTCCATATACGGGGCCAAGTTTTTCTCTATAATAGGACGATGAAGACATCATCCAATCACCAAGGCGTATGGATTCGGAACAAACAGGAGGTGTTGGAATAGGAAATCCTTGTAAAAAAGATACATTATATTATTAAGTTATCTGTAAAACCACTCAGTTAAAAATTCAAAATGGTAATTCAAATCAGTTTGCTATTTACAAGCAATCTCAAGAAACTTTAGTTTTGAAACATAGTCTCGGAAAGCTCTCTTTGAAGGACTAGAGCTTCGATCATCAAATTCAAGCTTCAGTGACCACTCGTCACTACACGGCCGCATGCACATTCTCCCCTTTAAATGAGTGTGCGAGAGTGCCGACACTGTATATTTCATGTGATTGACAAATTCCATTAGCTAATCGACGTGCTTTATAGAATCCGCAGAAGTGGTAGAAAAAGAAATGTAAAGATATGAATATGATGACCGCATGGCATTRTAACTTTCCTTTATTTTTCTATATCAGATAAAGAAATGACTTTATATTTAGCTAAACGTCTGTATGATACCTTGCCTGCAACCATAGAATTCAGCTCTCATTGATATGTAACGGTGCCATTGTTTTGGCTTGATTCTGATAAACCGAGCGATGATTGTTCTTTTCAGCATGTGGCGCACCACTCTAAATCGGTCACGGTTTCCTTTAAACAACTGAAATACAAAAAATGTTCATTTATTTCAAGATATGGCTGAAAACAATGTTGATTGAAGAATGCTCTGACACTTACGGTTCTCTCTCTCGACGAAAACTAACAACAATGATTTACGTTTACCTTAACATTACCGTCAACTTTGTTTCTATAATCTGTCCAGAAAATTCCATCACTACTGTAAGCCAAGGTGAATCTTTTAACATACTGGTTGGCATCCTCACGGCCCTGTGTTGCTACTGCCTTAATCTCCACGTGCTTTTCAAAGTCGACCTACGTTTGAAAAAAGTGCTTTATAGATGTATCAGATGTATCATGCCGAGAAAAATGAAAGTGAATCAAAAAAAATAACTTGATGAGACACGTTGAAATCTTTAACATTACTGAAGCCCGAAGATTAGCTCAAAGTTATACTGTACATTGGAATCAATCATATTGTTTCTGGACATAGTCTTGAGTCATACTTGACTTCATATCGTAGCAACAAACTTATAACTAATGAATTTTACTGTCCGACTTTATTAAAAACCAGATGTAAATAAGCAATGTGTGGGAATGAAAAGTTGGGCAGTTAGCTATAAATGTAGGAGAAGGGTAATAGAAGCAAGAAGGAGTCAAAAAGGACCCCCTCCCCCCAAAAAAAAGAATAATAATAATAAATAAATAAATAAATAAGATAATTGGCACTGAGTTCACTAACAAATAAAACTGACTGGATTGTTAGACCTTTTGAATTATTCAACAAACCTGCAGCCACTGATTAGAATCTGTYCTTTTTGCTGACCATCCTCCAGTTCTTYCTTTTCGTTTGTAGAAAAACAATCTGCCATTGTCTGCACGATGGGTTCGGCTAAACTCTGAAGAAGCAGTTATCTGACCCTCCTTTATCAAACCACTCTGAAGTCCAAGTGGCTCTCGGCATTTAGGAATAGAGGGCACAACGAATCCTTAAAAATGATAACATTAACAAATAGGATCCTTCTCAAATCAACAACAAAATCGTCGCCAAATCGGCGGGAAAAGGAAAAAAATAACAAGTAAAGTGGGTATGCGATCTTGTTCTTAAAGGTTGAATCTGATCAAATTGCATTAGTTAGAACCCACGCATTTGCACTAAATCCTCATTTTACTCAAGAATGTTAAGATAAATGCAGATATTTTAAGACTAAATAATAACAACGCATTACCTTCAGTGCATCCATAAATTTCGAGTCTCATTGAAATRTGTCTTTTCCASGTTAATGGTACCACACGAACGTATCGGGCAAAAATTTCTTTGGTTAGACGATGTGCTACTGGCGTGTTCTGATCACTGTTTCCATTAAAAATCTAACGAAAAGCACAATAACTGAACAGAACAGCARAAAGTCTTGTGTGTTCATGATTTATGACAACCTTTAATGGTAGCAGGCTAAACAAACTCGCGAAAAAGGACATAAAAYGTAARAGATATAARTAATTATCAGGGTAGTTAAAAACATATTATTAGTCTCGCCAGCAAACCTTATTCTCCTCAATTGATAMCCAAACGTGCACATACTTACTTTTGGTTGTCCCTTTATYGAGTAAGTCTTATACTCATAKCCATCRAGACTGTATTCYAGTTTATACGTCTTCACCCACTGGGGATGGTCTTGACGTCCTTGAGTGGCGAACATTGTTACCTTGACAACATTGGGAAACATAACCCCTAGCCATTGGTAGACGTTGTTACGTAATGCTGACCACGCCCCTCTATTACTTCCTGYTTTCTTAGAATTTAGTCTACCATTTCTAGCGGCATGACTATCACTCCATTGAGATGAGGCCATCATCTGTTCATCTGTTATCCGTTTGTCCTCTAAACCAAGTGGCTTTAGACAACTGGGCGATGGCGGGAGTGTAAATCCTAAAATATCCAATTTCATTAATAACTCAGAGAAAAAGAAAACTTATAGTGTTCTGCTTCACTTTTAAATATGTATTTTTTTACTATTAGATGTTTTATTTTCAAAATTGATAACAGAACGTAACATTGTAAGGCTGCAAATGTTTCACCAGTGCACCTTGAAAAAGCCAATCGACTGCTGAAAACAAGATGAAATGCTTATTTTCAAGATGGAGTTTTTATATTATCAGGACGGTAAGCGAACTGAAATTGTAATAAAAACCTCTTACGCACCTTCCAGCAGTAAATGATTGTACACCTAAATAGGTAGCTTTACTATACCTGACGTACACCCGTAGACCTCCATTCTCATAGATATATGTCCGTGATATGATTTTGGCAATACTCGAATATACCTAGTAAATAAAAATGATGTATCTATTGATAAAACAAAACGTACAATCCATTGGTATGGGAGTTTTACGCATTCTCCTTAAGAACGGACTTACATTTTATGCAAATATTAAGACAGAAAAAAATCAACAAAAATAGGTATTTTAATATATATATATATATATTTAAAAATATGCGAACAAATCTTCATACAAGATTTTCCAAAAATGACAGTAGTTCACGACGGTCAATATTGGGGACTAGTGATGAATGAGGGAACTTATATTTAAGTCATGTATTGTTGATTAGCATTAAATATTGGTCTAATTGCAAGAGACGTTTCGCAATTGAATTAAGATAACACAAGATCAATTATAAATGCCGGATTAAAATGKTCCTGTTGTCCTTGTTTATCGTAGATAATCGCCAGAAAACACCGTATTTCCTTATAGTATTTCCTTATGTTTTCCTTGTATAAAACAATACTGACATACCTAGCAATGATTGGCGGATCAAGAATTAGTCCATGRGGAGTATTCTGATCGGTATTTCCAAGAATCACCTCTTTGCCTTTCAAATATTTCTCAAAGTGCAGTCCGTCCTGACTGTATTCCAATGTAAAGGTTTTTACCCATTGTTTTGAATCCKGACGACCTTGTGTCGCAACACTTGTAATTTTACTRGTTTKGTCCAACTTCACCTGAAGCCATTGATTGCCCTTGTTAGTTTTKGCAGACCATGCRCCTCTTTTTGATCCTTCTCTTGTTGTGCCAAGTCTCGCGCGTTCTGGACCATAAGTTTTGACATTCCACGAGGATGAAGCTGTTATGCTGGCATCTGGGATCTTTTTGTCTTTCATACCCAATGCTTGTAGACAAGAGATTGGTTTTGGAGGAGTGAAGTCCTTGCCTAAAATTGTAAATTGTGAAATGCCTAAATAGGCCCCGTTTTTACTGTTGTTTGCAACATAAATTTAACACCGTAAAAGAATAGGTGAAATATCTTACTGAAGTTTGGGACGTTAATCCTTCGTCGGATAAAAGAGATGAAAAAGGGCTAAGTGTTTTTTACTGATCGATAAGCCTGACTAACAGATAAGCGCGACATGCATATGGGCATTCTGTTTGCCTTTCTTTGTATCAATATGTACCTTACCAGATGTACAGCCGTAGAACTCTGCCCTCATCGACATATAGCTGCGATACTGATCTGGATGAATTCGGAAGTATCGGCCATAAATTGGAGGGTCGATAAGATTYCTTACAACGGAATAGTCGTCTGAATTCCCAGTAAATATCTGAAATAATAACGCCAGGTCTGTTGAGCATATGATTATGTGTTCATACCAACGACTGTCACTCAAAACAGATGGAGGTTCTCGTACACATCAGCTGTGYTATGATATCARCATCTAACGTACTGATATCTCTCCAAAAACGCAAACTTTGGACATTGAAGAGTATAGTTTATRTCAAATTYGGTTGTTGATCTATCCTAAACTAAAARAGCATTGCTAGAGATCCAAATCAAATTGGTGACAATAGACCAATTTTGATATTCTGCTGGTCATTTTGAAAGAATGAAGACATATCTCGGCAGAGAGAGAAAAATTCAGTATCTATTGTTTTCCGGGAACATCGTCTTGAACTCGTTTGGGATTGGTCGTCACATTTCGATCAATCATTTCCACAACCTTCRCAACAGATATGGTTTTTAATCAAACTGACATATCATTTTTTTCCAGATACATCCCATACTTACATCTGTTTTCTGCCAGAATATCCCATCATCACTGTAAGAGATCCAGTAGTTGATGACCCATTGATTAGTACCAGAACGCCCCTGGGTACCAACCATTTGTACTTTAGTCGTTTTACCGAGATCCACTTGCATCCACTGATCTTTGCCATGTTTTCCTACCCAGGCTCCTTTTCTCCCCGATTTCTTTTGGAAATAYAGTCTRCCAYTGGCTGCTTTATAGCTACCACTCCATTGTGATGACGCAGTCATCCTTGAGTCAGGAACATCGCCACTTTGCAAACCCAACGCGGACAAGCAAGARGGAACCACTGGAGGAATGAAGCCTATTTGCAGAAATKTTCACACCTTTTAAAACATGGCATACTGTATAGACGACTATTTCAAGATTTCAGACTTTCTATTTCTAATTGTATTTTTATTCATTGAATCGTTATAGTCAGAAAGTATGGATTACTGCACAGCTTCTCTTTGCCAGCTTCCATTTTAAAAGCCTATACAGTGACTTGGAATTACCTTTAGTGCAACCATAAATCTCCAGTCTCATTGAGATGTGACGTTTCCACAGTAGCGGATGTACTCGAAGATATCTTGCAAATATTGGGTCATCAAGTTTGTTGGATTTAATTTCATTGCTATTTTTATTTCCTTCGAAAATCTAAAATAAAAAGAGGTGTAATTTCAAAAAATAGGAGAGCCATTATTATAGCTTGCTTAAACAAGCCATTGAAAAAAGTTWTTGATATGGAGGCGTTTTTCAGGTTTTTCTTTTGTTGCTGTATACTTTTATGGTCATCCCTTGTTTTCTTGTATTTCTACGGTTATTTGACAACAAAAGAAGGACAAAGTCGAGAGCGTGACTGTCTCATCACCTTTTTCGTTTTCTGTAAAATCTATTAGAGTACAGACACACGGAAAAGTGGAACGTATTTATTATATATGATATTTTCCTGTATTTTCTCCGGAGCGCGCGCCTAATTTCATTTGAACGGTAGAGCGAACAAAGGCGAGCGCACTGGTTGTGACCAAAAAGATCTCACAAGATCACATCCGTGCGTTTTTTATTAATGACACACGATTCTCGACGAACTCAAGAGCGCGTAATATACCAAAAAGTATAAAACTGGCATAGCAGTAATTTAATTATTTATTTCTAATTTTATTTCTTATTGTAAGAGCATCGAGCTTTGAGGATGCCCCTAGAACATTTTATTTTTTATTATTATTATTATATTTGCAGCGGTTGTTATATCAAAACCGAAAATTACCGGAGGATTTCATTAAGGTAGTCTGCTGGTCTACAATACAGTTTTGGATCATTATTTTTAACASCCCATTCGTTTTTCCACTTACCAATTTGCCTTTTTCTTGTTCTTTCACATAAGGTTCATAGACGCCATTGTCTTGACTATATGACAACCAGTAGCTCTTAACCCATTCCGACCTGCCCCAAGAAGCAGGTCGTCCTTGAGTCAGAATCTTTGTWATTTTCACAGCTTGTCCAAAGTCGATTTGAAAGTACTGACCTTTATCGTTATAWAGAGCAGCCCAAGCGCCTGTGTAAGCACAAAAGCTATCCTTAAAAACAGCACATTCTTACATTTATGTAGAGAATAGAAAGTATTACAATTTCTTTTTAATAAAAGTATCTACAGACT